TGGGTTTGGTTTTTTTTTTTTTTTAAATTAGTAGCAGTATTTCATAAAGATTCTTGTCCACACTGTCCAGTGCAGACTGGACACGTCCTGGGTTGGGTGCCTGCAGTGATTGGGACACATGAGTCTGAGGCTGGCACAAGTGCAGGTTCACATGCATACAGGTCTGTGCCTGCACTGGTGGGGGCATCACATGCAGGCTCGGGTACAAGTATGTGAAAACAGGATTCTAGGCCCTTTGTTCTGGAACACCCTGAGGTGGGAAAATGCAGTTTCTACCTCAGTTCTCTATCCCCAGCACCATCATCCCCCTGGTTCCCTTCAGTGCAAAGCTGTTGGGAATTAGGTTTCTTCCTGGGACCGGACCACACCCAGAGGCCTGGAGGTAGCCTTTGGACATTTTTAAGCGTGGGAGTGGTGCATATTGAATGGCCCCCAAGGAAGAGGAGTCCGGTAACTGGAGCCAGGACACCTGGGTTGGTGGCCCTGCTCTGCTGCTGAGGGACATCTGTATGACTCTGGGCCCACCCTCTAGCCCACTTCGAGCCCTCAATCTTTCCTGTTCATCCACCTCCATAGCCCTGCCCCTTCATCACTCAGAGGCCCCTTGCCTGGAGCCTCATCCCTGGCTTCCTGGCCTTCTCTACTGCTAATGCTTAGAAAGGACTATGTCACTCCCCGCTCAGAATCCCCCCTTGGCTCCCCATTGCCTTCAGGATAAAGCCTAACTGAGCTCCTTGGCCTGGCCCAGGAGGCCTTGTAAGATCTGCTCACCTCTTCACATCTCGGTCTCTCTCTCTCTCTCTCCTCGGGGTCCTTTTCCTCAGCTCAGCCTGGCACCCCCTTTTCCTGGAAGAAGTGATGAAGAGCAAGTGAGGGAGGTAACATTCCGTCCTCACCCCTCTTTTAAAGTCCAACAAATTTTCGTTCAGATCTCATCTTTGCCAATCTGGTCTCTGCCACCCTGTGCAGGTTTCAGACCCTCCCTGAGTTTTAGAAAAGAGTTAATATATATTTTATTTCCTAGGGTTGGATTATTTTTAAATTGCATTTGTTTTTGAAACATGTTCCCCTGGCTCAAAACTGAAAAGATATAAAATATAACAAAGATTACATATATAGCAAAAGTTCTTCCCAAGCCACTCAATTCCTTTGTATGTTCCTTGTACCCAAATAGCATCTTTCTTTTTTCCACATTTGGATTGTTTTATAGTTACCGTCTATTGAGGATGCACTATATGTGCTTTCCATGGATTATTTCATTTACTCCTCACAGCTACCTATGAGGTAGATGAGGAAACTGAGGCTCAGAGACTTGACACCACTTTCTTGAAGCCACACAGCTGGTAAGCAGTGGACCTGAGATAACGGAAGCCTTTACGAAGTGCCTGCCCACGATTCTGATTCTGCCCTTTATATTCTTTCATTCAACAAGTACTGAGAACCTCTAGGTTTCAGGCACTGAGCCGGGTGCTCGGGCTATAGCGGTGGGGAGGAAAACAAAGGCTCAGACCTCGCAGAGTTTACATTCCTGTGGGGACACACTGCGGCTAGGGAGGTGCTACTGTTTGCCTCATTTTCCGGGTAAGAAAACCGAGGAACAGAGAGGGAAAGTGACATCTTTGAGGTCATACAGTGACAAGAGCTGAGATAATCAGCTTCATCTTACTAGTAGGGCAACTGAGGCACTGAGACATGAAGCGACTCACCCAAGGAAACTTTGCTAGTAATTGACGGAGCCGGGATTCCAACGCTCTTACAAGTCGGCCCCTCCCCGCGGGGCACTTGGCTGGGCAGTGGCGTGGTCTATCCCTGTGGGCGGGGCTGGGAGACGCCCCTCCCCTCCCGACCGGCGGGGCCCCCCCACCCCCATTGCGTTCGCATTTCTGGCAGCTGCGGAGGTCGTTTCCTGCCTCCGCCGCGCCCATCTGGAGGCCCCCGCGGGGCGGCGCGGGGAGGCGGCCCAGACTTGCTGGAGCCAGGCGCCGGCCCGGGCCCCCAGCGCGCCTGGAGAGCCCAGGTGTGGCCGCGGCGGGGGTGGGGGCGTGGTGCTTTCCTTCCCGACGCACTGGGCAGGATGCAGCCTCCTCCTGCCCCCTCCGCGGCCTCAGGCTCCTTCGAACCGGCCCTGGGATAAGGCTCCGTCTCTGACATCCACTCTTGTGGAAGCCGGGGCAAGTCCCCCACCCCTAATAAAGGAAGGGACTGAGTTTCCGCATTTGTATAAGGACGGCTGACCTCTCTGATCGCCCCGATTTCACAGGCCCCTGCCTTGTCCTTCAAAGATCCCAGACAAGTTTGTGGGAGCCTGGAGGGTCCTTTGCTGTCTTCGTTACGTCATAGCTCTTGACATTACCCATTTATTCAGCCATTTCAAATCCGATTCACTGATCAGAATCTCAGCTTGGGGAGAACCGGCACTTGGCCTCTTGGGTTCCCTTCTGTGACGACTCCGGTGACTTGACCGTGCCCAACTCTTAGGTGGTACTGAGGCTGATAGATGGCCCCCAGGCTCTTCCCAAAGTTGGATGCCCCCTGGAAGAGAGGTTCTTACCCGTTTCACAGTTGGGGAAACAGGACAGAGTGGCCAAGACAAACCCAGGAACATGGGGAACCCCAGCCCTGCTGTCAGACTCTGAGGTTGCCACCAGAGGTGTGTGTAGCAGGGCTGGGGAGCAAATTTAGAGATTGCTCCAGGGCGCTCGTTACCCAACACCCCCCCACCCCAGCCTCTGGTTGTCATCCCCCTCTTCTCCAACGCTGCCCCAAAGAAAGGGACGTGGTGAACATCATGGTCTTGGAAGCCAAGCTAGTGTGTTCAGAATGCCCCCTGGGCACCGTACTTAACGTCTACCTGCGTCAGCCTTCCCATTTGTAAAATCGGTGGTACCGACCTCATAGTATTGTGAGAAATAAGTGAACATTTCTATAATACATACAGCATAATGCTAACACGTCAAAAACAAAATAATGTGTATTGGGACTCAGCAGGGCTGCTTGCACCCCTTGGGGCAGTTAAGGGAGACTGAGGCACTGAGAAGGGCACCTAACAAACCAGGGGAAAAACTTGGGGTTTGGGAACAGCTTCCCAAGAATCCACCCCCACCCTGGGTGAGGCTGTCATCAGGCCCACGCAGGGCCCTGCCCAGCCACCCCCACCTCTCCATCGTGTAGACCCAATCCGTGCCCGGCCTGGTGCCATTTTTCCATGGGACTCTGGTGGTGGTGGTTCACATCTGGAGTCTAGACTCGGAGGCTCTGCGGGCCGGGCCTACCGCCTGGGCTGGGCCACCACTGCCCGCTGTTTGCTCAGCTGAAGCTGGTTAATTGGAATTAGAGTGGCCTCTGCGGTGCCGGCTGGCCGGGTGGGCCCTGGACGGCCGCTGCAGAGGTCTGTGGAACATCTGGCAGGGCTAGGCTGGTCATTAGGTGGCAGGCGCCCGGCACCACCGCCACCTCAGCCTCCGCCGGGGGCCAGGGGTGACTCAATGAAGCCTTTGTGGGCCCAGGGCCGCAGAGCTAACTGTGCTGTGTGCCTGGGCCACCGGCCCCATCTGCCTCCCTCAGAGAGGCCTTGTTCCAGGACCACACGGCCTCCCCTCCAGAGGTGGCTGGAGCCGGCAGAGATCCAAGAAGCCCCTGAAAGGGACCCCCTGGCCAAGGAAGACTTTTGGAGATTTCCTGTTCTTCCTTTCCATACAATCCTGGGCCCAGAGAACTTGGGCGGCTGGCTCAGAAATGCCCCGCACACCAGCCATGATGACTGGGTGCAGGGGTCTGGAGGGGAGTGGCACAGTACCTAGGAGCTTGGAATTTGGATTGCTTGAGGTCAAGCTGATGCCCATGGGCAAGCTGCTTCAATTCCCTCATTTGCACAGTGGGGCCAACCATAGCACCTACAGCTGAAGACTAAGAATGAAACGAAATCCTGTACTGAGGTGCCTGCTCCACGTAACAGTGCAATCAATACCTATCAGCTAGTGAGAGGATGACAATGATACTCTTGATCTCTGCTCATACTTGTCCTGCGGCCACCTCTAAACTGTCTGGAAGCCACTGTTACTCTCAGCTGTTGAACCTAGGCAATGGTGAGCCCCTCTGCCTCAGTTTTCCCAGTGGCCCCACACCAGAAGGTGAATAAAGGCGATGCCCACTCCTCACCTGGCCCACTGGGGGCTCTTCTGTAGGCCAGGGCTGCTGTCCCAGGAAACCCTGGCCTTGGGACCTCTAGCTCTTAGGCCTGGATGGCCTCTCAGAATCATGGAGCCAACCCCTGCCTTCTGCCTGTGGAGAAACAGGCAGTGGCCCGCCTCCCCCTCCCTGCAAGCCTCTCCAGGGGCCTGGCCCTTGTGCTCTGACTGGCCTGGTTGGGAGGAGGGTGGCTCCCACAATCAGGATCCTTCCAGTCCTGTGCAAGTCATTTTGGGAAGAATTCCAGGAGTGGGTGAATGGGAGTGATGGGGCTTTCATCTCCAGGGCAACCCAGAACCCAGGTCCCTCCAGCTGAAGCCACATGGACATTCGAACCAGGTTAGCTGGCTCCTGCCAACCTGGGGATAAAATCCAAACTCTTCCCGGGGGCCCACAGGCCCTGCCCCTTAATCTGCTTTACTGCTACTGGCCCCTTGCTGAGTCATCACCTTTTGGTTTCCCCCCTCCCCAACCAAGTCAAGCGGGGGGGGGGGGCTGCTCACACATGGAGCACCTGCCCAACACCCTTACTGCCCCCAAGTGGTGGAAGGTGGTGAGGAAAAACTTGATGGCTGGGGAGAGAAGAGGGTTCATGGGCCCCCTCTGCTGGCCCAAGAGCATTCCTGTGGTGCTGAGCAGGCACGCTGACGTGGCACTGGGGTGAACACTCAGAATGGAGGGGCCCACAGGTCAGGGCCTCACCCCAGGATGGGGTACCCCACGCTCCCCAGGAAGGGGCTTGCAGAAAAGTTTCTGGGTGGGAGGGTGAGACCTGACAAAGCCAGTGCAAGATGCTGGTTGCTTCTGCAGAGAACCCTCCCAGGAGCGCAGTGCCCGCCCCGGCAATGGGAGGAGTTTTTAATGTGAGACAAAGTCAGTCCACAATACAAAAATCTAAAAATCAGACCCACTTCTCCTCCAACCTGATGACCAGGGTCGGGGTAGGGGGCTGAGGGCTTGCTTTGCCTGCAGGGGATATGGAGGGGCAGAGAAAGGCCAGAGAAGGGGACAGGGAATCAGAGGCCAGAAGCCCCTCCCCTCTCCTAGAACTGCCCTAGGCCTCCTGTGCCCTCTGTCCTGCAGGTCTGTGTCGTTCGTCCGCGGCTTGTCTGGTCTGGTCCTCGGATCAGGCACCAGCAGCATCATTTCTCCTTCTTCTCCATCCCCTTTGATGCCTCTGCTCCTTTTCTGGATTCTGTCACTGCAGCTGGATCCTTAGGATTTGACTCTTCATAGCTGGTCAAAAAACAGAACAATAAAAACAATCCATTTAGACGAGGGTAGAGCAGAATCTTTGTGCCTTGCCCCCACCCTGAGGACAACCCCTGTGCACACGAGGAATGCCAGGCCTGCATCCATGGCCCAGCATCTTCCAGTACTTGACCCCGCCCACCCATGTGCCCTCCTCAGACAGGCAGTTCTGCTTTCTCTGTGCCCAGTGGTGCCAAGAGGCATTAAGGGCAGCGGCAAGTGGGGGAGAGGTTGGGCCTGGGCTTGTGCGGACCAACTTTAAGCTTCTTGAACTTTCTGCTGGAGAGAGTGGAAAGGGGCGGCCAGGCTGAGACTGTGCGAGATGGGCTGCTTCCCAGAGCACATGGCAGGAGTCACATGGCTCAGCCCCAGGGGTGGGGGCAGCGGTGCTGCTCTGCTGGCAAGTAGCCAGGTGCCACTCTTGAAGGCGAGCACCCTGGCTTAACTATTACTATGGGCTTCACTTAGTGAGCTCCTGAGTTCATGCCAAGGACAATACATACACTTCCTCATCAGATCAACCCCGTGAGGCAGGATGTGCCCACTTGTAGATGGAGAAAGAGAAGCTCTGAAAGAGGAAAGTGACTTGCCCAAGCTTATACACGTGTATACACACACAGCGAGTGGTTAAGAGTGACTACCACCGTCAAACAAGGGCCATCTGCATCCACTCGCTCATGTGAGCCCCACATTACTGACGAGGACACTGAGGTTCTGGGTTGCTCTGCTCCCTGCCCCATGGCTGGGTACAGTGACTGCCTGGTGGTTGTGGAGGAGCTGCCTCCTGCCGCCCCCGCCCCAGATCGCTCCCTGCCCTGTACACTGGGGCTGGAGGGTCTGCCCTACCTTGGGACCCGGGGCAGGTGGGGGGAAGCGGGCAGGTGGGCACCCGCCGGGCATTACATGGCGCTGGGATTCTGTGGGCGCCGGCGGCGAGGGCCAGCTAGCTTCTGCTGCATGGAGTCGGCCAGGCTGGCTGGGGAGCCCGAGACTGTGGGGAAGTGGGTGAGCCTTGGGGTATGAGGCAAGATTTCCGCCGAGGACTCGTAGCTGTGTGAGAGACAGAGACAGACAGAAAAAAGAGATGGAGGACTAAGGGGAGGACAGAGTGAGACTTCCTTTCCCAGGTGCAGGGTACAGAGTGCATCTGTTTTTATCGTTCTCTGCACTTTCAGACTTTGTGGGAAGAAGCTGGTGTTAATGTGGAGAAGAAAATGAAAAGACGCACCTATATAAAAGAACAGAGCCCTGGTACGCGTGGTTAAGAGCTGTGGCTGCTAACCAAAAGGTCAGCAGTTCGAATCCACCAGCTGCTCCTTGGAAACCCTATGGGGTAGCTCTGCTCTGTCGTATAGGGTCGCTATGAGTTGGAACTGACTTGACGGCACTTAACCACCACCGCCTAACAGTATAAAAGAGCCCTCAACAGCTGTGAAAACAGGGAGGCTCTGGGTGTGCTTGTGCTGCTGAAGTATCTCTAAGATACACCATTCTGTGAAGAAAACAAGACACGGAATCCTCCGAGAATGCCACCACCTGGGCAAGGACAGAGGGAGGGAATTCTCCCTCTCCTAGCCGAGGAACTGGGAACTACCGTGAACTACTACAGGGGTTACCTATTTTAAAGTAAATAAATGCATGACAAAGGGGAAAAGTAAAACAAAGGATGAGGTGGAAAATCAGGAAAGAGAGATGGACAGAGAGAGAGACCATCTGCTTTGTCACCTCACCCTAAGAAGCCCTTGGCTGGCAGGCAGGCAGGTGGGGCCAGGTGCCCAGTGGCAGAACATTTAGGGAAGGCAAGGGTCAGGCTGGTGAAAGGAGCAGCCTCTGCTCTGGCTGCGTGGGAGGACTGGTTCTCAAAGTGTGACCTGATAAGGACTCAACAGGACTGGGTGGTCACCCCAAGGGGGGGAGGTGGGCTGAGGCTGGATGTGAGCCAGAGGGACGGGGGAGGGGTAGGCACCAGGCTCAGAGGATCAGGTCCCATCCCTGCCCTAAAAGCCCCCCAGGCCTACCCCAAAGTTCACCTCTCCCAACTTGGCCTGACTTGCCTCCAAGGCTACAGGGCTCTGCCAGGCCAGGAGATGAGGTGGGCAGGTTGGGAGCCTGAGGCTTCTAGGCAGGGCAGGGAGGGGAGAGGCAGGAACGGGGGAGGGTGAGTCACAGATTCCCCCTGTGGGCACCCAGGTGCACAGGAGGCCCTGGCTGGTGCTGGAGGGACCACTCAGAGGCCAGGCGGGTGGAGCCGGGTAGAAGGCCCCTGAGTGGGCACTTTCAGTCGCAGCGGGCAGCTATGTCTGGGCCCCCGGCAGGTGGGGTTGGTGGTGCTGGGGAGCAGACACCTGTTGGTGGCACACAGGCCTTGGGATTTGGGCAGGGCTGGGCGTAAGGTACGGCAGGTGTGGCCGTGGACATGGGGCAGGGGCCTGTGTGTGAGTGAGGAAACCAACTAGCTGTGGGTCACAGCCCTAGCGGCAGGCTCTCGTGCACCCTACACCTAGGGAAACAGAGTCTCTGAATGGGGAAGAGGGTACCTGAGGGCCCACAGCTGTGGGGGTGCTGAACAGGGGCTGACACTTCACTCTAATCTGGGGCACTTTCCACCACACAGGGATGCCTTTACCTGTCCTGCCTATTACACCTGAAAGCTGAGGCTCAAGGAGGGATGGGAGGTGCCTGAAGTCACACGGTGACAGGGCTGGGTCAGAAACCCAGGGCCCCTGACAGTGGGGCAGCCCTGAGAGAAATCTACACCAGCCGCCCCTTCTCCAGACGCAGCTGGCATTTGGGCATGGAGGCCACCCAAAGAGCCCTGAGGCCTTGCCCTCCCCTGGCTCCCGGCCCAGTGGGCAAGGTTCCCACTGGTGCCTACAGGCCAGGCACCCACATGCTGCCAGAAAGGGTGAGGGGTGGGGCTGATGGCGGGAACAATGTTCACCTGGAGACATGTACAAACACCCCCCGCAGGTGCCACTAGCTGCCCGCAGGTGCACCTGCGCCTGTGCAAACGTCTGCCCCCACCTGGCCTTACCTGAACATCTCCGTCACTTCTCCCTTGGCCAGCGCTACCAGGACAGGAAAACCGATGCAGGCAGGGACGAGGTACAGGAGGGCAGGCTGTGAGCGGACACAGGCTAGTCAGGCACGGGGGCAGAGCAGTGCCCCCTCACTCCAACACTTTCTTGGGCACAGCTACCACCCTGCTTGACAAAGGGTAACTGGCCCACGTTCACAGAGCGAGCCAGTGGCTGGGCCTAACCCAGTGGATCCTGATCCCCAGACCAGGGCTGCTCCCACTAGTGGGGAATGCAAGAAGCCCAAAGAAACTCAAGCTTACAGAGTTTCAACTAGCAGCCCTGGTTTCAAAGGGTCTGGCTGGCAGCACCTGAATCATCAGGGACAACAGGCTAAAACGTGCAACTTCCTGGGCTCTCTGCCCAGAGACCCTGCTTCCCTAGGTCTGGGGTACCAAAAATCTGCATTTTAAGCAGCACTCCAGGAGATGCTGCTGTCAGATGACAAGGATGACACAGCTGATCTGCACGTGTACTTGCTGGGGCCTGTGGTAAGGTCATCCAGCTGGTCACTGGCTCTGCTGGGCCAAATGGTCTGGCCCCGGGGCTGTGCTGACTCTTGGTGCAGCACGGTTGGAGGAAAGGACAGTCACACTAACAGCTCCTGTCTGTGGAGCAGTGACTGCTGCGCCCCAGCTCAGCACTCTCAGGAGCATTTCACTCCATCTCCATGCTCCCTGTGAACCTCCTCCTTCTGTAGAGGAGGAGGGCTGACAGTTCAGGAGGAGGGGACAGCCCAGGCCTGCTGGACTCTACAGCCATCCTCTTTCTGCAGCATCGGAAAGATGGACGTCACTCCACTGCTCAACTGTCCACGCCCCCAATGCTGCCAGTCTCCTAAAGGCCACATCAGATCTGACCCCTGCCTCCTTCTCTGACCTCACCTGACATGCCCTCCTCTGGGCAGCCTGGCCTTTTGGTCCTGTCACCTCCAGCCGCAGGATCTCTGCACAGGCAGATTCTGCCACCTGCACTGTTCTTCCTTTCCACCTTTGCTTAGTTTCCTCCTCGTTAGGGCTATAAGTACACCACTTTATAGATATTATCCTTGAATATGAATAACGCTCTAAGTATTAGGATCTAGGCTTTACAGATGATGTCACTGAGGTGCAGAGAGCGGAAATGACTTGCCCACAGTCACAAAGGGCACTGTAACTGGCTGAGCTGGGATTGAACCTGGACAGCTGTGCTTTTTCCACTGTGTCAGGCGTGCACTATAAGCTAGGCTTTGGGTCAAGAGTAATACAAATCGCAGTGACAAAGGTCCAAACCCAAGCCAGGAGTGGGAAGCAGTCAAAGTAGTACTCAGAAGAAAATTTACAACCTTAAGTATTGTCAGGATTGAATTGTATTCCCCCAAAATATCTGTCAACTTGGCTAGGCCATGATTCCCAGTATTGTGTGATTATCCTCCATTTTGTGATGTGTTGTAAATCCTAACCTCTGCCTGTAGTTAATGAGGCAGGATTAGGTTATGTTAAAGAGGATTAGGTTATGTTTGTTACGTTAATGAGGCAAGGTTAGAGTGGGATACATCACCCTTACTTCAGTCACTACCCTTATCAGGTCACAGACCTGATCCAATGTAAGGGGAGTTTCCCTGGGGTGTGGCCTGCATCACCTTTTATTTTACAAAAGATAAAAGGAGACAGAAGTGAGTAGAAAAGAGAGGGACCTCTTACCACCAAGAAATAAGAGACAGGAGTGGAGGTGTCCTTTGGACCCAGGGTCCCTGTGCTGAGAGACTCCTAGGCCCAGGGAAAGATTGATGACAAGGACCCTCCCCCCTCACCCACAGCCAACAGAGAGAGTAATCCTTCCCCTAGAGGTAGCGTCCTGAATTTGGACTTCTAGTCTCCTGAACTTTGAGAATAAATCTCTGTTTCTCAAAGCTTCTCACTTGTGGTATTTCTGTTAAAGCAGCGCTAGATAGCTAAAACAAGTGTATTTATTAGAAAGCAGGAAAGACTTGAAACAAATAATCTAAACTTTCAAATCAAGAAGCTACGAAAAGAACAAAATATAGAAAAAAAAATGAAAGAAAAAGCAGAAACTAATAACACAGCAAATAAAAGGAACTTATTAAAATTTAATTTCTGGAAAGATCTCCTTACATCCATTTTATAGATGAGGAAACTGGGGATCAGAGTAGAGAAAAAAACTGGCCTAAGTTGCATGGTTGTCTGGATTTGGATCCAGGTTCTTTTGTCTCTAAACCCAGGATATCTTCTTTACCAAGGTTAGGTTGGGCAAAATGGAGAGCCTTCCCTGGGGGTGGGTGGGTAGAAGCTTAGGCTCTCCATCAAAACCTGCTTAACTCAAGGGCAGGCAGCCACTGAGGGGCTCCAGGGGCCAGTGGGACGGGTTCCTTTGGAAATAGTGAGTTCCCTGTTATCAGAGGGATATAAGCCTATATTCTCTCTTTTCTCAACGCCCCAGGTGACTTTTCCAAAGAAAGTCAGGGCTGACAGAGTCTGGGATGTACAGCTTGGTGCAGTGAGCTGGGGGTTAGGACTCCCGGCTTCCTGTCCTGTCTCAGTCTTTCTGTGTGACCATGGTAAATTGCTTCCTTCTCTGGGCTCGCCTCTTCTGTGTACAATGATGGGCCATACCTGATCATCTCTAAGGGCCTTTCTGGGGGCTGCTAGCCCCCTGGCTTGGCGGGGGGCTATAGCCCCCCAGAAAGTTTTTTTAGTTTTTATTTTTGGTGCAAATATATATAACAAAATACACACCAATTCAACAATTTCTACGTGTATAATTTAGTGACTCTGGTTACATTCTTCAAGTTGTGCCAGCTTTCTCAATAGTTATTTTTCAAATTATTTCACCATCATTAACACAAACTCACTGCCCTCCTAAGCTTCTCATCTATCCTTTCAAGTTGCTGTTGTCAATTTGATCACGTATAAATAATTCTTTAAAAGAGTATAATGCTTATTGTATTTGTTTCTAAATAAGCTAAATGATTATTTTGTTCAAAGCAGGAGATATTTTCGGTTCAATGTTTAAAAATGTCTTCAGGGTAGTAGTTCCGGAGGGATCATCTGGCCTTACTGGCTCCAGAAAGTCTGTATTCCATAATTGGGGTAGGTTTTTGATGTGGCAACATGGGTTGAAGGTCACACCGACAGAGGTGGCACTTACCTAAGATAAATACTGGCGTTGGGACTGTCTGTGTCTTGGAGAGGGAGGAGGACCCATGGCGCAGATTCTCTCAGGCCCCCAGTCGCCTTCCCAAGAAGGGTTTTCAGGGAGATGCCCATGCATGACTGGGGGATGGGTCAGGCTGCTGCTAAGGAGCAGCACAGGCCTGGGGCTCCGCATCAGGAGTCCAGCATCCAGCACCGCCAAGCCTGACTTGCTGTGTGACTCATGGAAGTCTTCTTTTCTCTATGGCCTGCAGTTTCCCCATGAGGAGAAGACTCAGCCCCCACTCTCAGTGTATGTGAGAGCGTGGAAAAGGATCCTCCTCTGAGTCCAGCCTGGGCTGAAGGCAAGCCCGCCGCCTGCTGGCCGCCAGGGGAATGGCTCTGGGCTTGCACTCTAACATGTGGCTCAGAGCACAGGTCCAGGCCCAATCACACTCTGGGATCCCCTTGGCAAGTCATGTCATCCGCTGCATGTACTGCCCCTGAGACTAGAGCTCATTATTCACTGAGGTCTCACTTATTGGCTGGGGGACCTTGGGCCAGTTACCTAATCTTGCTGTTGACTCTCTCACTCTTTTGTACAAAAAGCATACTACATAAGGAACCCTGGTGGTGCAACAGGTAAGTTCTCAGCTGCTAACCGAAGGGTTGGTGGTTCGAACCCACCTAGTGGCTTGTGGGGGTAAAGACTTGGTGATCTGCTCCTGTAAAGACTACAGCCTAGAAAACCTATTGGGGCAGTTCTATTCTGTCACATATGGTTACTATGAGTCAAAGATCAACTCAATGGCACCTAACAATACAACAATAGGACCTACATCATAGTGGTGTTGTGAGAGCTAAATGAGTTAATGAGCAAAGGGTATATAGCTGGAGTGCCTGGCACACAGTTTGGGGGGGAGAGGAAGGAAGAGAAGGGGTAACAACAACAATAATGACACTAATATTAATTGGGCCAGGCATGGTTCTAAGTATTTCACTTATATTAACTCATTACATCCTCGGACAACCCCAAAGCTATTATTATTTATCCCTGTTTCCTGTTTTCACTCATCACTGAAGAAACCAAGCATAAGGTCAGCAACCTGCTCAGAGTCACACAGCTTTTGACCAGGTGGTATCTGCATTCACCCCCGGGGCTCCAGCTCTGGCCTATTTGAGCCTCCGGGCCACACTGCCTCTCCCACTGCCTGCGGTTCACAGCTCAGGCAGGTTTTCATGCAGACACTGGTTTGAATCCTGGCTCCACCATGTACTTGCCACGTGGCACCTGAGCTCCAGTTTCCTCATCTGTTCACAAGGATCCTCACAAAGTACAAACCAGAGAGCCTGGCACTGGGACGTGCTTAATCAATAGGTGTTAGCTGTCTTGGAGATCCCCCCCCCCCGGCTCCAACTCACGGTGACCCCATACACAACAGAACTAAACACTGCCTGGTCCTTTGCCATCCCCATGATCGGTTGTGGATCAGAACATTGTGATCTACAGACTTTTCATTGGCTGATTTTTGGAAATAGATTGCCAGGCCTTTCTTTTCAGTCTGTCTTAGACTGCAAGCTCCACTGAAACATGTTCAGCATCATAGCAACATGGAAGCCTCCACTGACAGATGGGTGGTGACTGCGTATGAGGTGCACTGACCGGGAACTGAACCTAGGTCTCCCGGAAGGAGAGAACTCTACCACTGAACGCCCACTGCCCCTAACCAACAGCAGCTCTTATTACTTCCAGCATAGTGTAATTCTGCCCACCTGCTTCCTTGCCCCTCCTCGTCTTCCCCTCTCCAGGACGCACTGATGGCTCCCAGGCCACCATCCTTCCACCGCCCAATTCCGTCTGTAGCCACTCAGCACCTACCTTAGTGAACCCCATCACTCAATCACTCACCTGGTAGGGCAGACACTGAGCAAAAACAGCTAACACCCACACCTAGCTCCCTTCTTCTTTGCCTGCCCCTACTACCCAGGCTGAAAAGCCAAATTCTAGACTCTCTGGCAGCTAGGGTGGCCATGTGACACTGATCTGGCTCATGACACAAGGGCAAAAATCTGCTGAGGTTGTTTTGGCAAAGTTTTTGCCTTTCTGATGAAGGCGATGGGCATAGCTGGTACTGCTTCTTCCTTCTTGCCATGAAATGTGGATGTGCTGCCCGGCAGTGGCAGCCACCTCGCAGCAACCAAGAGAATTGCAAACAGGCTTGCTCTGACCCCAAAGAGCAGCGGCCTACCTCTGGACTGCTTGCATGAGTGACAAACCCTGAGGGAGTCCCTGGTACTCGCAGTAAAAGCACTGCTGATGTACCAAGTACAGTTCTGCTCACCTGGGCGTGCTTGAAGATGTGCATGATGAAGATGGTAAGGCCCAAGCCAAAGATGTAGGCTGCAAAGCTGGTGTAGAAGTAGGTGTGGGTGTTCTTTTTCAAGCTGCAGGGAAGGTGTGGGGAGAAAGAGGGTTAGATGTGGGGACTGGAGGAGCACCATCCCTTCTGAGAGTGTTGAGGCTGCATAGGGTGACTGAGCACCCTGGGCTGGGGGCCGGGAGGTGGGTGTGCACTTTGATACTGCCCTCAGCTATGTGTCTTTGGACAAGTCACTCTCTTTCTCTCAGTCTCAGTTCGCCCATCTGCAAAGTGGGCGAACTATGAGCTCACATCCCTGATGGTTGTGAATATCAAACAACATAACCTGGGACAGCGGCTCTAAGACATTAGCCAGCATAAAAATCACCTGGAAGCTTTGAGATTCTGATTTACTAGGTCTAGGGTAAGGCCAGGAATCTGCATTTTGAAAAACTCACAGTGAATCAGGTTGAGTTATGTTCTGAGAAACAGTAATGCTGAAACCGCAAAGGCCAAGTTCCTTCTTTTAAGTGTAGCAGATGTGAGAGTTCAGTACCTGTTGTGGGTACTAAGCAGATGCTCACTGATGGATAAAACGCCAGTGGCCTCCTGGAGGTGACTCTAACTAGCATCCATCCAAGATCAGCTTCAGAACAGAGGAATCACGTGTACCCTAGCATCACCATTAGGACTTTCCCTGTAGAATGCCGGTGCTACGACCCCCACATACCCTCAGCACCTGGAACAATGCCCGGAAAGTGGTATGGATTCACTTAATGCTGTGGACTGGCTGAGAATGTCTGACCCCTTAGCTCCTTGCCCTGGCTGCTTCTGAACCCTGAGCTGCAAGCACACTGAGGGCTATTCTGATGTGAAGGCTGGGGTACAACTGACTGCCTTTGGGAATGCTGCAGATTCTGGAACCAGCTCTGAAGGAAGGGCTTGCTTGCCATGCAAACCTGGGCTGTGCGGGAGATCCTGCTTCTGAGGATGCTGGCAGCTGAGCCCGTGTCTCCAACAAGTGGCCCTACTGGGGGTCTGCTCTTGTGGGTTTATCTTTGTATCATTTCATAACAGCCTGGAGTAGAGCTGGCTGGCACAGACATGCCTCTACTTACAAACAGGTCAGTCCCTTTCAAAGGTAAGCCCATGTATCCAGAAGGCCCAAAGTGACACTGGAACTAACCCAGATGTATGCAAGTATGCAAAGGTTAAGTTTCATGTGTAAACTTGATTTTGAGAACGTTGGTAGGTTTTCGTGACTGGTTTTGGAATTATCAAGCACGAGAAAATTAAGAAATGTTCATAAACCACCTCAAAATTAGGCACACACAGCAAGCCCTTCACTGCACCGGCTGAGGATAAAATGGTGGTATGCAGTTGCTGGCGCCACCTACTGGCAGCAGGCTCACTGCCCCCTTCCCTCTCCTTCGTGCTTATTTTCTAGAAAAGACTGAAAAAAGTCCCAGTAAGGAGAGGGTGGGGAACAGCCAGGGCACAGATGGTGGGACACGGTGACCTGACCCAGGCTGATAAAAACCAGTAATGATGATGATGACATCAACTGAGTTTCCCAGAAAAGCTTCTGAGGTGAGCCTGTGCTTGGTGCTCTCTCCCCAGATTTTCAAGGTAGTCCTGAGGTGGGAACTCTTGTTTACTGTTAGTTCAAGGATGAGAAGCCTGAGGCTCAGAAAGGCCAGGCCACTTGCCAAGGTCACACAGCAAGGAAGCACTATGGGTGCCCCTAGGTCCTTCTGGGGTTCAAGCTCTTGGCCTGTGATTCTTAACTTGTTTTTGGGCCCCAGGTTCTCTCTTCAAATGGGTGAACACTTAGAACTTCAAAACGTAAAATACAAATAAAGCAGCATTGCTCAGGCTGCTGCAGGGGTGGGGGCCTGGCTTCCTGGGGTACCTCCTTCTGGGCTCCAGACAGGCGGATGGAGAATCCCTGCTCAGGGTGAGCCCCCACTGGCTGGGGCTATGGGTGAAGGTCCCAGTTCCAGGCAGCTTACCTGATGTCAAAACGCAGCAGCAAGGCGATGAAGATCCCTGCAGAGGGAAAGCTGCGGTTAGAAGATGCAGGGAAGGCAGTGCCTCAGGAAGGCTTGGAGGTGGAGTTTTCCATCTGGGCCAGGAGGAGCGGGATAGTGAACACAGAGTTGGCCAGGCCCTGGTCCTCAACCTGGTGCCCCCAATCATGGGGCAGTCATGGCGGGGAAAGGGTGTGGCCTACACTGCCAACTGGCTAGCAGAAACCCTGTGTATCTACCATCAACGAGAAGGTCCCGAGATTTTGCTCTGGGCTGGGACCACACTGATCTGGCATCTCATAGCAGGATACTGGGTCATCCTGGGTCCGTCCACCAAACGTTTAGTGAGCGCCTACTAAGTACCAGGCACTATGGGCAATACAGGAGCGAGCAAATTCATTGCTCTCACAGAGCTCAGCAGGGGACAGAGACACAATCGAATAGTAACAGGAATAAACGCAAGGTTATAACTATGAAAGGGTGCTTCCTGTGTCATGGGAAAGTGTCTTAGCGGATGGGACCCAGGAGGGCTTCTTTGAGGAAGTGACACTTCTAGGGAGAGACCAGCATGTGTAAGGGTCCTGAGGGAAGAGGGCTCAGGGGGTGTGGCAGAGACTGAGGCGGCCAGTAAGGCTGCAGCCCAGAGCTGGAGATGCAGGGGCTGCACCAGCCATGCCGGGCCCTAGAGTAGGGGGACACACCAGAAGAGCTCTCAGCAGGAGAACAACTTAAATATATCGTGAAAAAGACCCCTGTGGTGGCTGCACAGAAGATGGGTGGGAGCAAGAAAGAACAGAGTGAGGAGACAGGAGGCTCTGCCTGCAGGGGCTCAGGAGAGAGGATGGTTAACTGTCCACCCAGTGCACTCCTATTTGTACTTCAAAACTCAGCTCCGACACCCTAGAAGCCGAAGCATCTTCCAGTCAGCCAGTCTGGTCTCTGTATGTTGCACACATACCCTGTCTGTCTGTCTCCCTCACTGGTCTTTGGGCTTGGCCGGGAAGGGGCCCAGTCTCATTCAGCTGCAGTAGGCGCTCAAGAACTGAAACGGTCGTGTTGATGAGAAGTACTGACCAGCAACATATGATTACTTTTAAAGAGGGAAAGGATTTTGTCCTCAGTGAAGACTGTGAGGGGGTATGTGGGAGGCAGAAGGCGCAGACACATGCTGCCTTTCTGGAAACAGAGCAGGAATTCGGTGCCCCCCTGGTGGCTGAATTCTACAACTGTTCTCCACCTAGCCCAGGGGTCAAAGCTCTGCCCAGCGCTTTCACTCCTGACACCTCATCTGCTCCTCAAACAATGCCTGGCAACCCATTCTTTTTGAAGACCACCACCGAGGTTCTTTGTTCTTCGAGGCTCAATCCAGTTACATTTACCATGACTGCTGAAAGACCTGGCTATCGATCAACTGATCTGCACTGAGATTGTTACAGACACGTCTCGTGCATGCCTCAAGGCCAGCACACAGGGGAGTGTTTGTTGGGCACCTGTGACAGGCCCGCCCCTGCAGAGTGAGCCAAATGATTTCCTGGAACCACTTTCTTCTGCCTGATGGGACTGCCTCCTGGGGAGCCAGTCTCCTTGCCTCAGGGCAGTGTAGGACAAGGAAATGCCTGGGTTCAAGGACATACACCAACACCCCAAGGCCTTAGGCAAGTCGAATCACCTCTTTGAACATCAGTGTCCTCATCTGTAAAACGGAAATGCCCTCTGTCTCATGGGCTGCTAAAAGTAGTAAAGACAATGTATAAAAAGCACTACGCACAATGCCTGGCACACAATAGGTGTTTGACAGATGACAGCTGTTGTGATTATTATTACTGCTATCACTGTTATAAAAGCAGCTCTGGTAGGCCAGTTTAACTTCTTTGCAGTCAGATCCAGTCTAAGTCCCAGCCCTGTTGCTTACTAATGTGGGAATTGTAAGTTCTTTCACTTCTCTGAGTCTCAGTTTCCTCATTGGTAAAACAGAGAAAGTCCCTGCTTCACCTACATACTTAACACAAAATGAAAGTACCACAAACAGAAGGGCCTGCATAATCCCAGGTTATCCATAGAACTGCTATTACTTCCTACACTGGAGGAGACCTGGTGGCGCCAGTGGTTAAGCGTTTCACTGCTAACCAAAAGGCTGGCAGTTCGAATCCACCAGCCGCTTCTTGGAAACCCCATGGGGCAGTTCTATTCTGTCCTGTAGGGTCACTATGAGTCGAAATCTGCTCGATGGCAATGGGTCCTACACTGGAAAGTAAGGTGGCCTTTAATTTGCTTCACACTTTCTTCTTTTAAGCAAGCACTTAATGCTCTCAGACTCTGGGTCCAGGGAACACATATGGCGCTAAATTCTCAGCCACTTGAGCGGCCCCCAGAGGGGCAGCTCGGTTTGCCCTTAGTCTCTTGACTGGTGGTTTGGGTTGCTGGTGCCCCTGGCGATGTACGCCCAGAGCTGCAGGTACACTGATGAGTACCACATGCAGACACGTTTGCCCGAACGCCAGCTCCTGCACACAAGCAGGTGTATGCACACAGGAGCCCACATATGCTGTCCGCGTGTCCATACACAGGGAGGGGAGCACTGGGGGATTCTGGCAGTTCTAGCACATTCGAAATACTCGGTGAAAACTGGGAAGGAGTGTGTGATGTGCAAGTGGGGTCAGGTTCCTATATGATGGTCACGGAATATGCCTCTTCACAGAGTGTATCTCAGTCTGGTCTGTTATTACACACTAATCTTGACTGTCTCACCAGAAGTTCTGCGGGGACAGCCTTGCTCACTGCTGTCTACCCAGTGCCCAGCTCAGGGCCCAGCACAGGACTAGAGCTCTGCAAATGTGTGTGGAGGTTGAATCTTTCACCAAACCCTGGGCTGACCCAGTGTTGCTGCTTTGGAATTGCCCAGCCTAACCCCCTTTCCCTTTCCCAATGGATAAGACTGTCAGTTTTGAAATATTTCCTCCCCCTTGCTCCAGGGAAACCCTTTTCCACCCCTTGTGCCACAGCTCCCCCCATGGCAGGGTCACCTGGAATGACGATATCTCCAAGTCCCAGCATGGCAAAGTTGTCCGCTTCGAGGCCCTTCTCCAGCAGATCCTGGGGGAACACCACTGCAAGGGGAGGGAGGGGCGTGAGGAGTCTGGTGGAGCCCAGCCTACTTCCACTCTTAGCCCCCGCTGTGTGGTCTGAAACTCCCACACTTGTAGATCTGGCGGGGCATGGGGAGGCCAGAGGATGATGACAGGCTGAAGGGCAATGTTTCCATGGGGAATCACAGCTGGGTGGAGTGGGGAGGAATCTGTGATCATCTAGGCCATAGGTTTTGATGCCTTGAGATATGACTCACATACCATCCACTTTTCATAGGTATGGGACCCTTTGGTTAAATGGCACTGATCTTAAAGCCCATCATATGAAACATAAGGGAGCCCCATGTGGTGCTGGTATCTAATAGGGTTTCCTTCTCTCTACAACAGGGAATGGACAGATGGTGGCCCTTGCTCTGAAGCAAGGAAAGCCTGGGCTACAGGCTTCTTTCTATATTTGCAGAGGGGGAAACGGCCACACACCTGCAAAGTCCTCACATAAAGCCCCTTATTCAGAAATCCTGCTGGCCAGCTTGTTTGGATAAGTACAAATCAGAGAGACATGCCACCCTCTGTGTCCAGTTATGTAAAAGGCAGCTGTAACTGGATTTCATCCACAGCACCTTGCCAGCAGGAGAGCACAGCAGTTACGAGCGGGCTTCAGAGTTAGATTGCTTAGGCCTGAACCCTGGCTCTGCCTGTGACTTAGCGCTGGTTATTTACTACATGCTCTTGATCTGACTTTTCTCACCTGCGAAGGGGTTCTAACAGAACTGATCCCACAGGGCTGTGGTAAGGATTAGATGATTGGCACACACTGTTAACTGCTACCCATTCCTTCTTTATCAATCCAGTCCTGATTTTGTTTGAGGCAGCCTTCCTGCCCCGGTGATGGATCAAGCCTGGTCTAAGGCTAAGCCAATCAGGACAATCCTGTTCCCTGAATTCCTGGCTTTCCTTGCAGCTAGTTCTGGCCAATGGGGTATAAGTGGAAGTATACTAGGGATTATGGGAAAGCTTTTGCTTCCCTCATAAATATACAGACGCTCCTGTCCTGCCTCCTTCTTCCTTCCTTGAACACACAGGGCACAATGACTTACAGATTTCCTCATTCTCTCCTCTCAATTCTGGTACCGTTCAATTCTGACTGACAGAGTATGGTCTCCACTTTACAGATGTGGAAATCAAGGCCCAAGGAGGTTAAGTCTCCTCTTCAAGGCCACACAGCTAGCAAGCGGCAGAGCTGGGATTCAAGCCCAGGCAGCCTGACTCCTGCATACATGCACTTAACCACTCTGCTATACTGCCATGAGCTCTACAGTTAGCAGTAAAAGGCAATGGGCCTTCTCCCCAACCCACAAAACAAGATTCCAAGCACCGGAGGCCGAATATGAGTGTCACTTCCCTACTCAGAGCCCTCCAGTGGCTCACCACTGCCTACTGGGCTGCATCCAAGCTCCTTTTCCCCAAATCTGCCCTCTGTCCACCTCTACTTCTAGCCCTCTTCCCCGCTGCTCCCCCAAACTCAGCTACAACCCCCGACTGGTTCTCTGCTCTCAGGACCCTTCGTGCATTTTCCTGCCTCCAGCCCTTGGCTGAAGCTGTACCCTCCTATTCAAATACCCATGGTGTATTTACCACCCCTGCATGGTGGTAAATGCTTATTCATCCTTTATGATCCATTAGCTGGGTGCTCTGGGATCCCAGATGCCCTGGGCTCACCCATCAGAGCACGTGGGGAATAGCTGTGGCTCTGGCTTGCCCAGCACCCCATTCCTTTGCACTTTGTTTGGTGGCTGCTAATTCACATAGTCTGCTCCCAGACAATGGCGAGGGCAGTGACCCAGGCCTGTTCATCGTAACTCTATCTCCACGGTCGGAGGATTGGCTTATTACCCAGCCGGGCCCTTTGATTTATTCAAGCTGAAGATGGGAGAAAATTGCTTTCTTCTGGGGTTGCTGAGCTGGGACCGTAGAATTTTGGAGCAGTTTGTGGCCACGAGCCCCTCTCGGCTCACGGAGATACCTGTCTGTGGGGGTGGAGGAGGAGACTGTGGGAAAGAAGTGATTTCTGGACTCTGTGAGGCCCACTTCACCCTGACTGCCCACTGCCCAGAGCCAACGCGCCCCTGGCTCTCACTGCTGACTGCCTCCCAGCAGCATCCTTCCCTCCTCCCTTGCTACTGTGCCCGACTGAGTCTGTCTCCCTCTCCGAGCCTTGGGATCCCAGGAGATGATTCCTGACTAGTCTAAAGCTTAGACTCTAAGCTAATCATGGTTTTCCCACCTGCCCTGCTGATGACTTGGGCCTGTGACCCAATTCTGGCCAGTAAGATGTAAGGGGGGGCTGCAGGGGGCTTTGGGGAAGAACATTCCTACCCTTTCTGCCTCTGGACACAGCTATGTGGAGAGTCAATGCTAGGAACTGTGGCAGCCATCTTGGGACCGTGAGGGGATGAGCTTAAGGGACATGCAAACAGACTGAGAATGGTGGAGTGCGAAACTGAGGTGACCCTGGTACTTGGTGATTCCATCGAGGAACTAATTAACTCACCTCTAAGCCACTCTACCACTGAGCTTGCTATCATGCAAGATGACAAAATTTCCCCTTGTGTAAAGACTCTTGTAGTTAGATTTTCTAACACTTATAACCAATGGGTACAACTGAAGAACAAAACCAAGGCCGTGGGAGAGGTGTGAGACAGTGCCCGGCACTTAGGTACTGTAGGGATCCAGTGAGGAGAGCTTCAGGTCTCAGAGAGGACGCCGTGTCCCTCATCACAAGCTGGGTTGGTTAGACAGCCACTCTCTGTCTGCTCCCACTCCAGTTCCTCTCACAGCACACTGCACTGTGACCAAGGGGCCCGAGATCAGGGCCTGAGCAGAGGGGTGGCTGCTGGTGGACAGAGCCAGCAGAACCACTGACGAGAAGACGACCAGGATGGAGAGGCACAGGAGAGCTTGGAGGAGGAAGAGGCATGTGGAGGAGACAGAGAGGTACTGACCAAAACAGGGGCCATGAGGGGATGAGCCAGTTGGGAGGAGGGGGGCATCACTTACATTTTATCGGTGCCTCAAAGGACTTGGCCACTGTCACCATCACATTTGTGCCAAATACCTATAAGGAGAAGAGAGGAGTCTGAAGGGTGGTGGGGGGCCAGGTGGGAAAGCATGCTTGTGTCTGGTGACAACTTGAGACCCATCGGGAGTGGGGTGGGGAGGTGGGAGGGGCTCCAGGCAGATCTGAAGCCGAGGTTAGGTGGCCACTGACCTTGGTCATATGGACACCTCACGTGGGCTCCCAGTTCTGGGAAACAAAGAAAGGCCTTTTGAGGAAGTCTGGAAAGGGTCTCTAAGCGGCCCAAGCCTGGTAGCCTATGTTTGTTCAGGGTTCTACCCTTCTCAAGAGATGAAATCCTTCATCACCACCCACTTAAGGGGAGAAGAGGCTGTCTGGGGACAGGAAAAGCACCTGAGTCAGACTGATCTCTGTTCTGCTCACGCAGCGAGCCCCAGGCAGTGTGCAGCTCTTGTGGGGCCTACATTTATTAGCATTCTACCACCCTGCTGGAACCTCTCTCACAACTCCCTCTATGGGGAGACACGGGAGTAAGTAGAGCCACCGTGAGGATGACATGAGCACCACTGAAGGCACTGACACACAGAAGGCTCTCAGTGGATGGTGGAATCTGCTCTCAGGCCCCATTTCACAGACAAGGGCAACTGGGCCCAGAGAGGACCTGCTACAGGGTTCCACTTCTAGAAAGCTGACTCCATCAGACTGCTGTCTCTTGGGGGCAGGAGGGTGCAGGGTGCCCCTGCCTGACTCACCCAGAAGACGTCGTAGATGAAGAGTCCACCCAGCAGGATGCAGCCAGTGCTGACGTTGTTCAGGTGCAGGAGCTCCACCCCGTTGAGGGAAAAGGCCAGGCCAAAGAGGTTGTTGGCAATCCAGTGCTACGGAAAGGTGGGGGTGAGGCCAGCCCACCTCCCCGCCCCCCCCATCCTGGCTCTGCCCCCCTCGACCAAGGCCTGGGCTACTCACCTTCCTCAGCAGGTACCAGACGCCGACGATGCTGCTCAGGCCCAGGCACACCAGGTCCTTGGTGTCAAACTCATAATTGATGATCTCTGGGCAGAGAGGCCGGGTCAGTCCACTCCCCGGGGTGGGGCTGCCTCCCACCCCCCATCAGCAGAGGAGGGCACAGCTGTGGGCACTGTCAGAGGCCTGCAGGCTGGGGGGCTCAGCCTTGGCTGACCCAGATGGGTGGGAGTTTCAGGATGGTGAGAGCTCACTGGAGCCACCTCAGCCTCCAACTTCCTAGAGGAGGGAACGGAGGCCCAGAGAGGAGACGGGCCTGGCACAGGTCAGTGGGAGGTGGTCCGTGGTACTGGGAGCACAGGCTCTGGGGACAGACAGACCTGATTTGAATCTGGGCTCTGCCACTTGTAGCTGGGTAACCCTGGGGGAGGCAGTTCCCTCTCTGAGCTTCCATTTCCTCATCTGTAAAAAGGGGATAACAGCACCCACCTTATAGGGCTGCTGTGGGGAGTAATGGGATGGTTCTTACAAAGCGCTCAGCACAGGGCCTGGCACACAGCGGAGGCCCAATCAGTGCCAGCTGCCACTGCTGCCACCGAGCGCAGGCCTTTAGCAAGGGCCCAGTTCATTCTGGAATCTTTCTACTTTACCATCAAAGGAATCAAAAAGGGTGCTGGCAGCCCTATTCCATTGGAAGAAGAGGAAGAGGATGGTGCAAGATGGAGGCCAGAGGCCTGGAGAAAAGGCAGGGGGAAGTCCCTGAGGCTGCTCTTGAGGGAAGCCCTGAGGGAGACATCCTGATGTTAGACCCACTCTCGACAGACTGCCAATTTCCAAATAAGGAGGCCTGGAAGGTGGCAGAGGTTGCCCAGGGGCACATGGTGAAGTCACCTCTTTCAGATTCCAGTGTGTCGCAGACTGTGGCTTGTCCCCAATTTCTCTTCCCTCCCACCTCTGTGGAAACAGAACCCTGATGGTTTCTAACTGGATGAGAGGCCAACTAGCTAACAGCCACGTCTGCCAGCTTCCCCTGCAGCTAAACGGGTGCGTCTCTCCTTCCCCTCTGGCTGGAACGCGGAGTGATAGTATGTCAACTTGGGCCCCCATGAGCATGGCTGAGCATGAGACGGCTGGAGTTTGGGACCCTGAAGATTGTGGTGTCGAGTCACCTTAGCAAGTTTCGACTTTTGACCTTTAAAATTCAAGAAACACTGACTGCGCACAGGTGCGCTAGAGATGCAAAAAGGAAACACACCACGTCAGTGCTTTCCAGGGACGAGGCCAAATGCGACAGGCACCGGTAAGAAGAGCCATCCATTTGCAAGGTTAGACTTTCACAGGAGAGAGAAATGCCTTCCATTTGGTCAAGCCACTGACACTTCCAACTAATCCACAAAGGCCAGGCTTTCCCCAGTTCCCTAGGGTTTTCATTTTTTTTTAAAGCCGTGGAAGCCTTTTTTTCAAATCTTATGTGGGACAGTAGTCACACTAAAGACATTCATGATCCAGTCACGAGGGTGCATGTTTCCTGGGTGCTGACTGTGAGCCAGGCCCTGTGCTACTCGCTTTCCACACATCCATTACTCACCAGTCTAGGAGCATCCCTACCAGGGAGGTATGAGATTATCAATTCTATTTTACAGATGAAACAACAACAACAGCAACAAAAATCCTTGCAGCTCAGAGACAGCTACAGTTTCTCGGCAGTGGCAGAACTGGGACAGGAACCCAGAAATGAGATTCTGGAGCCCACCTTTCCCATCACCTGCTCTACTGGAGAGCTCCAATGTGGGAGAGGCCAGGAAGCGGAGGGGAAGACACCCAAGGCCCAGCCCAGGGGAAGTGGGCAACACTAACCTTCTTTGTTCTCCCCAGAGCCCTGCGTGAAGAGCAACTGGTACTGTCGATTTGGGAAGTTGGCTGGAAAAAACTTATTCATGAAGGGGCTGAAAGGAAAGACAAACAGGCTGGCAAATAGAGCCCTCGTGGGCCATCGCATCCCCAACACCCCACCCAGGCCCCATTTGCAGTGATTCTCTCCAGGCACCCTAGCAGGCACCCTAGCAGCTGCCCCAATAGGTAGGCATTACTGTTCCCATTTTACAGGTGTAGAAATGAAGGCCCTCAGAGAGTAAGTGATTTGCCCAGGATCATACCGGGAGCCAATATCTGAGCTGAAACTTGAACTCTGGTCTCTGGACCCCTAGTAAAGAACCCTCAGTCTTGACTCTTGTTACCAGAGAAACACAAAGCAGACACAGACAGACTTCCATGTACAATGCAGCTTTTAGAAGAGCAATGGATTCCAACACCTGGCCCATGAATTCCTTGTATGATCCTCTGGAGACCACAGGTCCATTTGGAAGAGGATGGCTGGCCCACCCTGCTTAAGCTCTCCCATCCCCCTCACTTTTGCCAAACCTGGACAGAACACTGGCCTTGGAGTCCAACAGACAGGCTCAGAACCTCACTCTGCCCATACTAGCTGTCAATCTGGTGGTAATAGAGCCCTCTGGGCAAGCTGCAATGTCCCTGTTTTGAACACTGGACCTTGGTATCCCTTATGCTGCCTGTCAAGAATGCATATTCCCAGACCCCCTTCCAGACTGCCTGAGCCTGGCCTGATGATCACTCCCGACCCCATAACCTACTACACACTCAAATTTGAGACTGCTGCTCTCCAGCAACAGGTCAGGCTCAGCTGGGCTCGACCGCCAGACGAGGACACCTTCATGTTCACTCAGGACCAGCCTGGCTTCACCTTTGGAAGCATTCTGATTACCCAGTACACTCCTCTTCCTGGCCAGGTAAGGAAGATAGACTTTCTTTTCTGGGCCCTTCTTCAGATCACAATGAGCAACAGGGCCTCTTGGCTCAGCCTGGTCCCAGGGGTGGGTGTATTGTGGAGTGGCTATGAACCTGGGCAGCCCAGCCCTGAACCCTGCTCTGCCATGCACCAGTTGCGTGGCCCTGGGTGAACCACTTCCCCTCCTTGAGCCTCAGTTTCCTCACCTATATGCAGGGATAAAAATACCACCTGCCTTGAAGGGTTGCTGTGAAGATATGAGAGAAGGCAGGTAAGATGCCTGGCCCAGCACTGGACCCAAAGCAGGTACGTAGGAACTGTGAGCTTCTGTCACCAAGACACTCTCTCATTCACAGCCTGAGCTTGAAAGTATTATTACATCGGATCACATTAATAATGACTAATGAGGCAGGCAGAGCCCTGGTGGTGCAGTGGTTAAGAACTATGGCTGCAAACCAAAAAGGCTGGCAGTTCGAATCCACTAGCCGCTCCTTGGAAATCCTACGGAGCAGTTCTACTCTGTCCTATAGGTTCACTGTAATTTAGAAATCGACTCCGCAGCAACGGGTTTGGTTTTTGGTTAATGAGGCAGGCAAATCCAGGAATGGTCCTCCCAACTGGGACAGGCAAACTGAGGCAAGCCAGGGAGGTAGCCAGGTGACAGCAGTAAGGGTAAGGAAATGGAGCTCTCCTTCTAAGAACCCAGGGCTTGCAGAAAAAAGATGTGGATTCAAGAAGCATCTCTGGGTCCCCATTTCCCCATGTGTCAACGAGCCGATCCCTCTGCCTTGCAGAGCTGGGGTGTGAATAGATAGCAGGCTTTCTAAACACTGATGTAGGAGTCACAGGAGGGCATTGGTAGCGGCTTCCGGAGCAGGGTTCTGAGGAGGCAGGAGGCAGAAGATAGGATGGATGAGGCTGGATGCTACTTTCAGCTCAAGCCAAGCTACGTGGGGGTGTCTGAAGCCAGGGAGTGTGTGCAGATATGGGTGGAGGCACAGAGAAGGCCTGAGGAGCTCAGCCCTTCACCCTAGCCTGGCCTCTTCCTTAGGAGCTTGGTGCTTAGCTCCCCTGCCAGCAGAGGGCAGTGGTTAAGAGCACAGACCCTGGAATCAGACCTCCTGGGTTCAAATCCCAGCTCTGCCACTTATCAGCTGTGTGACCCTGGGAAAGTTGCTTAACTTCTGTGTGCAACTATTACCTCATCTGGAAAACCATAGAACTTTTCTCACAGTGTTATCAAGAGGATCAAATGAGTGCCTGCACACTGTAAGCTAAATAAGGTTTCTTTAACTGCAGCTTCAACTTCAAGTAGGAAGTTTTAGACTGACGTCTTTGTTACCCCGAGAGAGGAGGGACTGCTGGGTAACACAAGGAAAGACTCAAGTGACCCAGCTAGTGTGCCTGTGAGCTTGAGGGCAGAGCCCTGCATCACCTCCACAGCCCTATGCCAGGCCTGGTGCCTGGGAGGCTTCTGGTAAATGCTTGCCGAACGACTGAATGCCAACTTTTGTGGTAGGAAGAGTCTCTGGCCCTCGATGGCTCACATCAAACCTAAAGGTTACTGCTTCCTGCTGAGAAACTATGTCCTGGTGCCCTTCTCCCCTGGGGGTGGGGGTCAGTGTAACTGGTGACATGGCCTCCTTCTCCTGGGGCAGCAAATTTTGGCATTCTGGGCCTTTTTCCCTCTAAAGGTCAGCTGGGTGGGGCATGAGCTCAGAGGTGGCAAAAATAAGCCGAGGTTCCCTTGGCAGGGAGGAATCAGGATTGCGGCTTGGGCTCGTTTGAGCCTTGGTGACTGAACAAGGTAAAAGCAGGCTGTGCCTTCCCCTAACACCCCAACTGTGGTGTTTTACCAAAGAGGCCTGAGGTGGGCTGGGGCACAGTGGTGGAGGTGGATGGGATCCTGAGACAGCCTTGGCCTGGGGCTGACACGGCTTGGTGCTCAGCTCTTTCCAGGGTTCAGCACGCCTCTGCTCTGCAGATTCTCAGGAGACTACAGGTCTGTTTGGGAGAGAGTGGCCGGCCCACCCTCCTTAAGCCCCCTCGTCCACCTCATTTTTGCCAAACCTAGACAGAACACTGGAGTGAGACAGATAGGCTCAGAACCTCACTCTGCTCTTAAGAAAAAAAAAAAAAAAAACAAAAAAAAAACAACCCAAACTCTTTGCCATGGAGCTGATTCCAACTCAAATCGACCCTACTGGACAGAATAGAACTGCCCCATAGGGTTTCCCAGGCTGTAATTTTTACGGAAGCAGACTGACACGTCTTTCTCCTGCAGAGTGGCTGGTGGGTTCAAACTGCCAACCTTCCAGTTAGCTGCCAAGAGCTTAACCACTGCACCACCAGGGCTCCTTCCACTCTGCCCTTACCAGCTGTGAATCCTGGTGGTAACACAGCCCTCTGAACCACAATGTCCCTGTTTTGAACCTTTGGACCTTGTTGTTTGCATCCTGAGGAAGGTCTGCCCCTAAGTTTGTGGATATAAACAGCTCATCTAAATTCTAGCAACACTGTGGAATTTTTTCCATTGAGAAACTATTTAAGACAACTCAATTTACTTCTTGGATTGACCTTCTAAACAGTATGATTAAATGATGCCCTCCTTCCTCTTTTTAAACTAAAATTCTTTTCATAGGAGTCAGCTTCTTTCCATGTAAATTTTACAATAAAGATTTCATTCATCCAACAGTTTTGGGTCTCTGATTTTTTTCTGAGGACAGCTTTGAGCACAGGGAGTAGCCCTCTGCCCACTACCATCCACTAGTTTTACAAGGTCCAATTTTTGTTTTTTAAAATTGTCCTCTCATGCCTTTAATAGTTGGCCCTATACTTGCGATGCCCCTCCTAAACTGAGAGGAGACTGCTGTGCATCCTGCCACACACACCCTGTCAGAGCTAAGCACAGGGGTCCAGGGAAAGCATGGGCCAGGATAACCTGAGGTCCCATTTTCCCAGGCCCAATTTTCTGCCCTAAATTTTGTCAAGAAAATGATTCTTCCTGTCAATTTTTTAATCACTAATAAATTTCTACCACGTGAAGTTTTAGGTTCTGTTGGTTTTATTTTCTGTTGATAATTTCTATCAGTAAAAATTATGAATTGGCTAAATGACATACAACAGTTTCTCAGCTAACCCATGAGAAATTTGGGACAAAGTCCCTTCGCTATTATTCTAAAAGGAAAAAAAGTCTGGTGTTACCATGACAGGTTCAAAATGCTTTGCTCGGGTGCTGGATAGAGGGCAGCCCTCTCCTGCAGGGCTGCTGGGGAGATATAATGAAATAATTCCTCAGCATACTGCCTGCCAGTGGCTTTCAAAATATACTGGGTTCTCTCACTCTGAGGTTGTGGTTGGGCTATGAGGAGAACTGAGGGGTCTCTGGCCCCTCACAGACGCTGGGGCAGGATGGGTTGGAGTTGGGAGGAGGATCCTGATTAGCATGGAGAAAGGAGGGGACCCAGTGTCTGGAAGTGACTGTCCTTCCCCACCCCACCCCTCCTTGTGACAGGAAAGCCCTTTCGTGCGAGGAAGGGTGCCTGGGACTACCGTGATCTTCTTGCCAGCTGCAAGTCACTTAGGTTCTCTAGGCTTTCTAGCTCACCTGATCCTTACTAACCCATATGAGCAAGGACTCTTTAGTATCTCCATTTTATAGGTGAGGAAACTGATGCTCAGAGAGCTTAAGTAACTCACAGAATTACAGAGCTAACAGCGCCAGATCCTCAGCCCAGGGTCTTGACTACCACATCATCCTGCCACCATGCCTGCAGGAAAGAAGCCAAACCCACCCTGGCTTTCAACACCTCTTGTGAGCAGATTCTTCTCTTCACAGGCTCTGGGAAGATCCTGACTATGCCTTCACTGTGCACAGCCCTTCCGGTGGCTGGCCTGGCCTCTCCCTCCTTGCACCTCTTCCAGGTTTCCCACCCTACAACGCTGAGTTCAAGTGGCGTTCTCTCCTCCTGGCCTTCCCTGGTCTGCTGGCCTCCTCATGGCCTATGAGTGGTTCTCAGCCCGAGGCTATACCACCGAGGGGTCAGATGGAAACATGCTGGGACCTTTTTGGAGTTGTAAGCTAGGGGTGGAGGTGGGGGCACAACTGCCATTTGGTGAGCAGGGCTAGAGATACCAAATATCTTATATGGGACAATCCTGTACAATGGAGAATTGACGTGTCCAAAATGCCAGCAGCAGGCCCCCCGATGAACACTGGTCTAGACAGCTCATCCCCACTGAGCCAACTGGGTTTCTTCGTGACTGTGCGGCAGTGGGAAGAGCATGGGTTTGGGGCCTCAGAGTCCTGAGTTTGAATCCTGGCTCTGCTGCTTATTGGCTGTATGATCCTAGCAAATTTCTTAACCTCTCTGAGATTCAGTTTCCCTGACTGTACTATAGGATTAAAAGCAAAACCTGACCTTATGGGGATATCTGGCAGGTTAACACAAATAATAATATTTATAATAACAATGATAGCTAAGCTACTGAACACATATTAAATGCCAGATACTGTGCTATGAGCTTTCCATACGACCCTATGAGGAAGGTACTATTATTATTTTCCTCTACACTCGGGTGAGGAAATTCAGGCCAGAGAGATTAAGTAACTTGCCCCTGGTTACAGGGCTGTTAAGCGGCAGAGCCTGGATTCAGAGCCAGGTAGTCAAATTCCAGAGCCTGCACTCTTAACTTCTCATCATCCTGCCTCTCTCTCGTTCTTCAGGGAGACCATGTGTAAAGAGCCCAGCTAGGGCTTGGCGCTCAGCAGGCAACGGTAACTGGTAGGTGGCTCACCTCAGTGCTGTAACAGCTAACATGGCCCTTCCTGTTTCCAAATAACTTCCCTAACAACCGTGGTGGTGGGAAACACCCACCACATACTCTCATCATTCCCTGTCAGGAAATTGTGGCCCAGAGAGGTTACAGTTCTTGTCCTAAGTCACCCACATGTGACATAGGAGAAAAGATTCCCTTGGGTTTTACAGCCAGGATTCAAACCTGGCTCTGTATGACGCCAAAGGTCATGTTCTCATCCAAGACCCTGTACTGGCTCCTGAGAAAGATGCTTCAAATGCTGCAGAGAGGTGCCTTCTGACCTGATGGTGTGGGACAGGGCCAGGATCCCCAGCACGAAGAAATACATGGACAGCAAGAGGTTGATGTACTCCTGGGAGAATATCTGAGGCAGAAATACAAAGAGAAACAGGAAGTCAGGGTTGACAGTGGCTATGAAGAAAGCAGAGTCCCACTTCTCTTCTGGAGGTGGTCATAACCCTCTGGAGTTGGGTGACAGTCTCAGAAAGAATCTCAGACAGTACTGGGGGCCTTCCTAGCTTCTGTGGCTGTGGGAAAAAAGGAGGAAGTCTCAAGCCCTCAGACGCACCTCTCAAAAGAGTGTGTAGGGTCACGCCTGTGGCTCCATATGTGGAGACAGGCAACTATGTCTGTGCCTGTAAGACACGCAAACCACTGGGGTGTGGGTCTCTCCCAAGAGAATCATCTGAACCTCAGAAAACTCACTCATCCAAGTTTCCTTCTCCTTGCTCAAAAAATCCAGTGAGCGTCCCTCCAGAGTGGTCACCAAGGCCCTGAGCATGCTAGTTATAAGTGACCTATGTGCCCTACTCCACTCTCACATCGTGCTCTTCTGGGCGGCTGCTCCCACAGTGAGGGGGGACGCTGGACAGTAGGCCCTGACAGTTGCCTCCTGATCTTCAATTACTGTTAGGAAAAACTGAGAAATGTTCTTTCACAATGCTCCAAGGAAACTGTCGCATGTTAGTTCTGGACTCTGCGGGTGCCGCATTGCCCCTGAATTTGTTACTGTGACACCGAGAGGGAATAACATGCTGCTGGGCAGGGTATAGGGACACCAGCCACCCTGAATTGGGCTTTGATGGAACCCGTTAAAGGCCTGTCTGATCGCATTGCTCCCTTGCTCAAAGCCTCGACAGCTTCCCTCTGCTCTTCTGAATGGAGGGTCCATGTCCTCGCCTCAGCCTCTCAGGCCCTCATGATGGCCTCTGCTGCCCTTCTCAGCCTCGGCTCACACCACATTTGCTCTTGTTCTCCAGAACGCAGCCACACAGGCCTTCCCGCAGGGCCTTGTTTGTGCCACATTCCCTCATGGGCAGCTTGGGCACGTGCTCTTCCACTGCCTATGATGTTCTCCTCTCTTCACCTGGACCACCCTACTCATCCTCCAGTTCTCAGCTCAGAGAAACGGCCCTTGACATGACCCTTCCTCATTAATTCAGCACATAGTCACTGACTGCCTGCTAGGTGCCAGGCACTGCACTTAACACCAGGGATACAGCAGGGACTAAGGCAGACAAGGGCCTGCCCTCATGTGCTTCATGTGCCAGCGAGGGGACAGACTCCCAGAAGAAACAAACATATACTGCCAGGTGATGATGGATGCTAAGGAGAAAACCAAGGCAGGGCAAAGAGACAGGGTGAAGGGGGAGTGTGGCAAGTTTAGACAGACGGTCAGGGAAAGCCTCCTGATGAGAGGACACTGGAACAGAACGCTAAGTTAAGTAAGGGAATAGGCCATGTGGGTATTCAGGGGAAGACCATCTGAGGCAGAGGGACAACCAAGTGCAAAGGTCCTGAGGTGGGCATGAGTTTGTGTGTTCAGGGAATAGTGAGGCTTGTGGGCCTGGAGCTGGGAGAGTGCCAAGAGATGAGGCTGGGGAGGTAAGAGGGAGCCAGACCCTGCAGGGTTTGTTTTTATCTGGGTGAAAGGCCCGTGTTGGAGGGTTGAGGGCAGGGCTGTGGGGGGATCTGATGGCCTGAGAAGATCCCTCTGCTGTTGTGTAGAAGAAAGCCTCTAGCAGGGCAGAGTGGAAACAGAGAGCCTGGTGAAGAGGGTACGGCAGAGGGAGGAAGTGGCCTGGACTGGAAGGAGGTAGGGGAAGCAATGAGCAGTGGTCATTGGGATTCTATGTCTGTTCTGGACTTGGAGTTGCAGGATGTACTGAGGGGCTGGATGTGAGGGCTGAGAGAAACAGCAAGGAGGATGACTTGTGAGTTTATGGCTGAGTAGCCAGGTGGATGGAGTGCTGTTGTCTGAGATGGGTGACTCGAGTAGGAATAGGATTCACCCTTGGGTGGTTCTTCTAATGAGTTTTTCTGGAGCTTCGGACCTCGACTTCACGGCACTTCTTAGACCTGTAACTTTCCACTTATCTAGGTGATTATTTGGTACCTGTCTCCACCATTTAATAAGACGCTCGAAGAGGGCGGGATGAGCCATCTGTTTTTCTCACTACGGTGTCCCCAGGGCCCGGCACATAGCAGATACTCACTAAATATTTGCAGAATAACTGAATGAACACGTCAGCAGTCTGTATTGTGACTACTACAAGAAAAGGACCCATGGACATATTTCACAGGCATATGGATTGTTTTGTGGTGTACCTCTCACACATGTTCTCTCTGTGTGAGTCTTTGGGACTAATTTCTTTCTGGTTTTGACTGTGTGGACTAATTTCTCTCTGGTTTTGACTGTGTGGACTATGAGAACCCTGCACCAAGCCTCACCTTCCTTTTTGCTTTGGCTGCTGGCAAGTCAGAGCCACGCCTATGGCCACCATTGGCAAGAGTACAACTTTTCAGAGCACGGGGTCTGGATACTGTCCTTACCCAAGGCTTCATTTTTTATCCTATCTTAATTTTCTTCTTCACCTCAATTTCTTCTTCTATTTGTTTTTCTTATGCTGTTGGATTTAATTTTTATAAGCTGCCTCAAACTGAGCAGTTTTAAATGAGGTGGGATAAAGCAAATGCTACGATTTTGAGGAATGTCACGAACTCCAGTGCCCCAACTAGCAGGAGGAGAGGAAAGGGGCTGGGAGTGAGCCACTGTGGTGAGCCCTTCTTCTATTAAACTGACCAACCAGCTGTCAGTCTGGGGTTCGGGAGGAGCCTGGTGGCTGCGTTGTTTAGGCAGCTGTCTTTCAGAAACCTCAACATGGACGCTCTTGCAGCACAGGGAGGAGGCACACCCTGCCCTTCTGGCACAGGGTATGCCAGGGCCTGGGATTTCTTTGCTCAAAAGAGCTGGGGCTTAGCTGTCTGGAGAGGACAGGCTGGGCAACAGATGTCTAACGCCTTAAATAAAAACACTCACACCTTCTGTGTCAGAAATTCTTTTTTGGGGACTCTAGCCTAAGGAAAGAATCCTAAGCACATTTTTATGGTAGAAGGTCTTGAGTCAAGGGACTGGGTGTGTATTCCTGGCACTTAGCACACTGGAGACTTGAGAAATAGCTGCCAAAAGCCGAGTGGGGGCAATGGACTAGATGTACACAGAGCAACTCAGACATCTCAAAAGTCCCTGGGAGGGGAAAAGAAATAAGGAAATGCACAGCACAGTTCTATTTATGGAAACCAGACTCTCCCTCACACACACAGATGCACTAACACCATATATTTTATAAGGAGACATACATATCCAAGAACATAAATCAAACGTATGAGAGCAGGTGCCTCTGGCAGAGGTAAATGGAAGTGGGGATTCAGGGTGCAGGGGAAGAAAAAACTGAGGAAGGGGGCCTGGCATGGACTGATGGTGGTATGCTATGAACAAAGGTATGTGATAAATTCAATTCTGCACTCCAGGTCCAGGAAAACAAAAGACAAAAAATCTGCTTTAAAAAAAAAAAAAAAAATCAATGAACACCCAAGGTTTTTTGATGCACTCTTATTTATAAGAGTAAAAATCAGAACACTTCCTGTTTAACATGCGTGTGACACTGTAAGCAAAACTGCGTGTATCTGCTCGTTAATTCTGAAGCCATTAAAAAGGGTATTTCTGACCTAGCAACGAGGGAGCAATGCAACAGGAAACAGACATTAAAAATTATGTTTTGACTCACTTGCACACTGGTTAAAAACAAAAAATTCTGATGACACCCAGTGCAGGTGAGAGTATGGGGAATCTAGCACCCTCCTAACTGTTAGCAGGAGTGTAAACTGGTACGATCTTTCTGGAGGGCAATTTGGCATTATCTATCCATATTATAGGGAGTCTCTAGGCGGTATAAACAGTTATCATGCTTGGCTATTAACCAAAAGGCTGGAAGTTCAAGTCCACCCAGAGGTGCCTCTGAAGAAAGGCCCGGTGATTTACTTCTGAAAAATCGGCTATTGAAAACCCCATGGAGCACAGTTCTACTCTGACCTATGTGGGGTTGCCATGAGTTGGAGTCCACTTGACAGCAACTGGTTTTTTAAATCCAAATCGCAAATGGAGATGTTGTTTGAGCTGGTAATCCCACTGAAGAGGCACTTGAAAATGTGCCAAGATACGTACATGATGTTCACGGCAGCAATGCTGTGACACCCAACACTGGACACCTAAACATCCCTCAGCGGTACATCTGTAAACCAGAGCCACGAGCAGTGCTTAAAAAGATCTGACTGGGTTGACATAGAAATGTCTCTGTGGTAAGAATCATGTCTGATACATATATTTGTTTTTATATTTTATCATAAATGGGGTATATGGGTAACAGAATGATTCACAAGAAACTGTGTTGGGGAGAGGATTAAGGCTCATTTGCACCTTTCCTTAAGGTTAAAAAAAAATTTAAAAAAAAAAAAAAAAAAAAATCATGTATTTTTAAAATGTAAACTAAAAGTTGTCCTTGAGAACTTTCAGTGACCAGGAGAAAGGTACTTATGATGTACTATCCAAAAAAAAAAGATGTAACATTACAGCTATAATATGACCATTATTGTGCAAAAAATATGTTTATTAAAAGCCTGATAGGAACTATCCAAAAATATCAATCTTGAGTATCTGTGTTATTTATTTTTCCTCTTTTGATATGCTTTTCTTTAGATTTTCTGCATGTATTACTTTTACGATCAGAAAGTAGTATAAGTTATATTTAAAAGAAAATGTTTGAGGAGAGTTTACAGAAACATGAGGAAATGCTTATGATGTTATTAATGTGATGTGGCAAAAGCAGCTACGAAACTGAATACACCACAGGGTCACAGCCGTGGAGAAACCATGCATGGGAAGAAGAGTGGAATGACACACCTCCAGAGGGAAACTGTGACTGTCTCTGGTAGAGGGGTTTTGGATGACTGCTGTTTTTCCCTTTTTACTTTTCTGTGTTTTCCAGGGTTTCAACACTGAGCCTGTGTAACTTTTATTGGGAAAATAAACCTCGATAAATTAAAAACAAAACAAAAAAAGCAATTAGTATGATAGACGTGTGTCTGAGACACAAGCTGTACCCCATCCCAACATACATACTATGGTGAAACCCAAACTGATACCACAAAAACAGAATAAAAAGCTACACGGAGGGGAAAAAAATAAAGATTGGTGGGAAAGTGTCCCCAACATGAACAGTGGTTGTCTCCGGGTCGTGGGTCAATGATTCATTTTTTCCCTGCTCTTTATTTTCTATAAATGAACATGCATGGCTCCTGTGATGGGAAAAATAAAATAAACTTACTTAAACCAAACAACATAACAGGTAGCAAAGGACTTACTTTGAAAAAGAGGTAGAGCCCCAAGAGCGTGCAGCTGGCGATGATGGGGAAGCGGGCGGCATCCCGGCTGGTGATCGTCTCGGGCATGTCTGAAGGGTTCTAGAGAGAGAAGAGAGAAGAGGTATTCTAGAGGAGAAGAAGGGTGCCGACTGAGCAGGGGCAGCAGGTCAGGCTTGCATGGGCAGGATACTGGTGAGCATTTGACGCTCCAATAGCTCATTCATCTGAAGAGGGGAGGTTCCATTAGGCGTCTCAGATTCCCACAGTTGCCTGCCTCTGGGGCTTTTGCTGTTCCGTCTGCCAGAGGGAGCAAGATGCTCTGCGCCTGCCTGCCAATCTGTCACTGAGGAGCTCTGGACCTCAACGGGGACAGCCCAGGGAAGACCCAGAGCCCGTGTGATCTAGCTGGGGAGAAGAGCTATCACACAGGTAGCTGCGATATGTAATAATGGAAAGAAAAACTGGAAACTGGTGACAACAGAGCAATCCTAGACCTCATGAGAACTACTTCCAATTTTCTTATGGCTTAGTAAGATAAACTGATCAATTTTTTATCCAGTAGGTAACGAATATTATGAACAGAAATAAACCAACATAAAACAAAACTGACAATCCTGAAACTGCATATGGGAAGATCACCAACGGACAGGGGAAGCAAATCTTGACAAAACTTAAGAAAATTTGACCGGTAAAACTGAATATGGTAAAAATAAAAGCCATGATTAAATTTACAACGGCCGATGCTGCAGTTGGCAAGAATACAATGTGGGCAAAGAGCTGACAGAGGGTAAACATTTACATGAAAAAGAACTGAATGCAATCGAGATAATTTCCATATTATAAAAATGGAAAAAACTGGAAATGGAGTACAATGCAACATAGGAATTAAACTGGCTTCATGGCATTCATGCCAAAAAATACTTTCTTAATGAAAATTCATCAATGGTAGTCTATTTCTGGTTAAAATTTGTATTCAGAAACACAGAGTCAAAGTTTTCAGGATCACAATGTTCTTCTACGTGCACCCTGCCCGCAGCTAGGCAAAATCCGCAAGGGCTGGGCTCAAATATCACTGGCATGAAGCCCTTCCAGATTTCCCCACGGGACAAACCTACTCCCCAAATACATTTTCCATTGGTTTATATATTTTAAATTCTATTTCATGTCATAGCTACCAAAAGTCCTTGCAATACCACATCAGCCTTCTGCTCCTGCCCACAACAGCCACAGGCTCACCCCAGGCCTGAGATGCCACCACCGCCACACCTTTGGATCAATTAAGGCATCAGTAACCCTGGGAGACAACATCATTCATCTGTGGAGTCTGAGTAGATTCGGGCTCACAGCTGGCTCTTAAAAACCAACAGGAAAAAATATGTAAGGGGGAAGCTGTCTGGTTAGGGTAGATGTGGGCCAGTTAGCAGTGGAGAGGCTGATGGCGGGGAGCCTGAAGGCTGAGAAAGGTGCACAGCCAAGAAGGGCCCATGCACAGCCAAGAGAAGGGCCTGCCACTGGCCAGCAGGGCTGAAAAGGCCAGAAAGCTGTCCTGGTTGGAAGCTGTCTTGATTTATGAAGTTGATCCTGTCACTTCCCTAATAAACTACATAACTGTGAATATGGTCTGTGAGCCATTGCAACAAATTATTGAAGCCAGCAGAGAAGTAGAGTGCTGTATGGGGGATGGCTAGTGTCAGAAATGGTGAAGAAGTTGGGGAGTGGAGGTATGTCTGACCTCCACCTCATAGGAACCACCTTTGTGCTGATCCTGATTTTTATCCCTCAGGAACTTAGGTGAGATGAGACGTTAGATTACAGTGCCCTAGGGTGGAAGGTTGCAAAAGGGGACTAAGATGGGAGCGTAGGGCAGCCAAGGTCATGAAATTACCACTAAGAGGAGGTGTGAGGAACTGGATGCCCACACACCCTGGGCTTCAGTACAAACTGGCTGTGAGGTATGGAACCCCTTTTGCAGTGGACAATATGGGGGACAATTAAGGGCTGACCAGACTAAGAGGCATCACCTGGAGCCAGATGTTGACTAAGCCTCAGGTGGCCCGTGGTGAGGCCTGGGAAGATAAGGCTCACTGGAGATTCCAGGGTTGGAGAGTGCTGACATTCTGCTCTTGGAGGAGGGTTGGGGACAGAGAAGTTCTGTTCTGAAGAACACCCCCCACCCCCCTCCAATCCTTGTCCCAGCTAAGAGGAGCCACAAAGAGAGAGAGGAGGGAAAGGGAACCTGGCAACATAAGAGTCAACACTGATTTCTCACCAAGATACTGTTATTTAAAAGTGAACACTGGTTTCTATTTATTGTTTGTTATTCACAGTTTGCTCCATCATGAAACTGCTATTTACTGTTTGTTATCTACTTTAAAAATTAAAATGGCTTTCACTATTGCCAGTGCTCGACTCAATCGGATGAGACAGATGCAGCATCCAAGGAGGGAGTACTGCTACTCGGTAGGGTCCTGTACACATGCAGCAGCGCGCTGGCCCAGCCTCTTGGGTAGGGCAATTCGGCAGGATGCATCAAACCGTAAGGAGTCCCTCTGTGGTACAAAGAGTTAACACACTTGGCTGCTAACCAGAAGGCTGGTGGTTCAAGTTCACACAGAGGTGCCTCAGAAGAAAAGCCTGGTGATTTATTCTGAAAAATCAGCCACTGAAAATCCTATGCAGCACAATTCTACTGACACACACGGGGTCACCATGAGTTGGAGTTGATTCTACAGCAACTTTTTTTTTTTTTTTAACATCAAATTGTAATTTGCACATGCCCAAGGATACAAACAGAAGATTCACAGAACAGGAACTACAAATGGCTCTTAACCAAAGGGAAAATGGGAATGGCAAAAACTCACACACTTGATAACATACTAGATTGGTGCAGCTGTGGGGAGGGGTACTCTCCCACACTGCTGACAGGAGAGCAAATGGGTCTTCCCGTGGAAAGCAATATATGTCAAAAACACAAATGCACATACTCTGACAGAGCAATTCCATTTCCGGGAGTCTTTTCTACAGATATCATTCATATGTGTGCAAAACGATTACTGTGAAGTATACTCAAGGTTAAGGAGGCCTCGGTGGCACAGCAGTTAAGCGCTTGGCTGCCACCCGAAAGGTTGGTGGTTAGAACCCACCCAGTGGCTCTGCAGGAGAAAGACCTGGTGATCTGCTCCCTAAAGATTACATCCTAGAAAACCCTATGGGGCAGTTCTACTCTGTCACATGGGGCTGCTATGAGTTGGAATTGACTCGATGGCACCTAACGACAGTATATTCAAGGTTATTCACTGCTCTGTTGATGGCTTGAGGGGTGACTGAGGTAAGACATTTGCTGAGCTTCAGTTTACTCATTTACAAACCAGAATGACACTTTCTAGCCTTACTCACCTCTAAGAGTCAACAGGCTCAAACCAAATGAGGCACAGGATGTGACGAAGCCTGGCAAACTGTAAAGTGCTGTTACCTTCAAGGGACTGTGATTATCAGGGAGAGGTGAGTGGGGAGGCCCTGAACCAAACCCCAATCCATACGGCTGAGGTGGCCCAGGCCCAGGGCTGGAAGGCAGCCCCCTTGCCCCCATCACCACTGGCAACTCTGTGTGAGTCACTCTCTGGCAGCTTTGCGGAGCGATAGAGGCAGGTGGGTGAGCAATACTGACACTGAGAGGTGGGGTTTCCTTCCTTCCCTCTTCTCTCCCAGGTCTTGGTTTCTGCTTTTGGCAGCCATGTGCTGTGGGACTCAGACAAGTTCCTCACCCACTCTGTGCACATCCAAAAATTCAACTTGTATCCTGTGTAGCAGTACTGAGTACAAAAGTGAATTAGTTCACAGGCAGGGAGGCAAGGACTTTTACATGTGAACAGACTGTTGTAGTACAGTGACGTGATAAAACAGACACGCATACTAATGTGATACACAGTATGAGCCCCAAATGGCAGCTGATGTCAAAAAGCCCAGTCTCACTCTGACTTCTACTTCTTCCCAGCTGTGAGGCCTGGGGAAGGTTATTTTCTCTTAGAGCCTCGATTTCCTCAGTTGTAAATGGGTTGTGAGGATTCTGAGATTCTGGCCCAGAAAGTACTTAGCACTGTGCCTGGCACACAGTAACCTCTCAAGCTGTATAAACTGTTCCTGTATTATTATGTACAAAGGACTCATGTGAAAGAAGACAAGACATTACAGGTAGTATCTACTTAGGAGGGGGTTCTGTTTCAAAGACTCCACTGTAAGTCGGTTCTGATGTAAGTCGAATGCCTCATTATTTTCAGTTTCTATTATTTTTTTTATTGTACTTTAAATGAAGGTTTACAGAGCAAATTAGTTTCTCATTAAACAATTAATACACATACTGTTTTGTGACATTGGTTGCCAACTCCACATGTCAACACTCTCCCCTTCTTGACTTTGAGTTCGCTGTTACCAGCTTTCCTGTCTTCTCTGGGCTGGTGTGCCCATTTAGTCATTTTATGGGCCTGTCTAATCTTTGGCTGAAGGGTGAACCTCAGGAGTGACTTCAGTACTGAGTTAAAAGAGTGTCTGGGGGCCATACTCTCGGCATTTCTCCAGTTTCTGTCAGACCAGTAAGTCTGGTCTTTTTTGAGTTAGAATTTTTTCCTACATTTTTCTCCAGCTTTGTCTGGGACCCTCTATTATGATCCCTGCCAGAGTAGTTGGTGTACTTTCCATTATGACTGCCTTTTATGATCAGTGTCTTTATAAATCATAACGCTGAACATCTGCAGGCGAACATCTGAGAATAACGTCAGCAATCACGCACTGCAACAATGTATGTAGTACATATTACCAATTATAAGATATACAACAAACAAAACACAGATGGTCATAAGCGCGGTTCATCGTAACTCGAATACTTGGGAAGTGGGCGAGTGTGAGATGTGCCACCTAAGCAAGGCCTTGAAGGTCGAGGACAGAGTCTGGGAGTGCACCAGAGTAAGAGCCAGACAAGTGCAGGCTGAGTTGAGGATCCGCTCTAGGTACTAGGAACGGAGGCGCATACCAGGCAGAGGAGCACGCCCAGAGGCACCAGGCTGTTAAAGCACACGCTGGACGCTGTGGTTTCCCGACAAACC